GCATGAGTGAACTCTACCTTATACCAAACAACAACGTTTTGAATCAACAATCAACTGTCATGACAATTGGTAACATTCGTGGTCATTTGGCATCCATCTCAAACCATCACATCAAACACATTTCCAAAATCGATTGCTGGACAACTCAACTCGGTGCACGAGTCCGCATTACTGTGTCAGAGTTGTTAAACATTGGTAATGTGAAAATATCATAAATAACGAGATATTTCAGAGACTCACACGACGCATATATGTTTGAGGCGATGTCTATCGCAGCCATCACTTGTGCAATAACAAGAGACTTTCTCAGCTATGACGTCTAATTCACGGATACGCATAGCCGTTATTTACATCTTTATAAAATGATCAATGTTTTCTTTTATCAATAAACAACACAATTAACTCATTGGTTCATTCCTTCATTCTCATCTTTTACTTTTGATATTCCTCCAAAACTATACTACATTAATATGTTGTCATACGTCCAAGAGCAACAGTATTGCTGTGGTGTAATATTAGCAACTACGCACAACTTGACATGAATGACAATGTTGATGCCGAAACTGTCAATGTATTACAATGTATTGGTCAACAGTGACTGCAATCAATGACAATATTGCAGTCAATTCAATCCATGTGTTGATTGGAACAATCATTATTCTCTTGTCAGATTCAGCATGTAAATGAATGTTTTGTAGCGTATTTACCAATCCAACAATTGACTGATTAACAATAATTGAATATTAAATGTTGAATAAAAGACTCGAGTCATTATATGAATGACGTAATCAATTGAGTTGAATTGACACTTGATTGAACAATACAAATAAACACATGACAAATGTCTAAACACTATTCAAAATGTGTGAATTTGAATACATGACAAATTAATATAATTTGACAGTTTTAATTTCACACAAAAATGTTTAATATTCAAAGCATGTGAATTTGTTTCACATTGTTTCAAACAATTAAATTTTGGATTTAAAGTCGGATTTTTTCCTTTCTTCATTCCATTCCATTACATGCCATTCTTATTTATTCTACTCACTTCATTCTACTCCACTTTATTCTATATTCTATTCTATTCCTTTCCTTCATAAACTCCAAAATGACCAGGATTTATGTGAAATACCTTGAAAACACTCCGGTATCATTATTTACTCAAAAGTTGCCTGTCCCTGAAGGAGAAGAGCCTAATATTTCCGACTTGGTTGCAGCCATCGTTGTTGAACCAACTAGAAGGCTTGCTGGTATCCCAGAAGACTATGGGCCACTCACCATCCATTATGTGGTGGATGGTCCAGCCATTGCTGGGGATGTGCTCCTGGCCTCAATTCAGGAGCCGGTTGGTTCCTACAACCAACCGCTTGTCATCAAGGCCAACAATGGTACTGGACAAGGCATCTCTAATTCAATGTCAGGAGCTCCAGTAGGTTCGAATACCGGAATGGTTTCAGGAACATTCGAAGAAACTGCAGATACCGAAACCACTGTGTCACTTTTAAAGTATCATCACATTGCCGATTCTTTAAAAGATGACGACTGTGTCGTGCAAATTGTAAAAATTATCCTTGCAGTCACAGCTGGAGAATTTTCGGGGTCAAGCTTCAAAAATTTACCGTTTGCATTTCTCGAGGGCTCATCTGGCTCAGGAAAGAGTCAGATGGGCTTTAATATCAAAGCCAATATTGGTGATCGGAGGAGAGTGCATTATCTCCTGTTCGATCCTCCCGGTTCGACATCACAAAGAATCTACCGCAACTTTGAAAACATTTCAAAGTTGTTCAGCAAATGTTATGTAGAAGATGAGCACATGTACACTTCTGAAACTTCATCTCCAAGCTGTGGTTCGCTGTTCAAAGAAAGTCTATATATGTATGGATTTATTTTTGAACTGCTATCCAACAGAATTCAGTCACCCACAGTCAGTATTGGCCCAAAGACTGGCAAAGATGTCCAAGAGCTGATGACTTCCAAAGGAATCAATGATTGCAGACCAGTGTTTATTCTGGACGAGTGTATTGCTATTTCAGACCAGTCCTTAAAAAAAGTGCGATTTGTGCGAAATTGCTTCCGCTCATTGGGTCTGGGACTCGTTATGATGGGAACAGATTCCAGAGCAGCCAAACTGCAACTCAGCATTGGAGGAAGCAGTCGAAGTGATGTTCCAATGCCGTGGTGTCATGTGTTTGGGGAATTTCCAGCAGTAAAACTAGAACTAACAGGATTGCCACAAACACTACCAAGATATCTCAAATCTATCATACTCAACTCAAGGCCACTTTTTGCGCAGCTTGTCGCAGAAGAAATCGCAAACAATGCTTCAGATTTTGACGAATTGATGAAAGCAGCGTTTATTAAACTGAAATCAGTCAAAAAGATATTTGGAAATCTTTACGGACAACTTGGACAGGTTCGGCTGTTTCATAACGCTCACTGTCAACTGACCGATTTGGAAAGCCAATCGACCAATCTGAAAAACCAATCGACTCCATTGATTCACTCACACTTTGCCCAGCTAGATGGAAAAAAAACCTTTATATTGATGAATGATGGATGTATTCAAGACCATTCTGCTTCTTGGGAACCGTCTTCGGTGTTTCCAGAGCTAAAGAACGACATTTTGCTTTACCTGCTGTTGATGGGTGGAAAGGGATTTTCCGCCTGTTATGCAGGGGATGGCAAGCAGGTGCCATATGCACATTTTTTGATGAAAGCCAAGAGTAATCCGGATTATCGCAGCCATATTCTATACTTTTCGAATGCTGCACAGGATAGCAATGATGGAATGTTTCTCGAGTCTTTGCTATGTTCGACAGTCTGTTTGGCCTCACATTCTAATGGCGTCAAGGGAATTGGTCTAAAACCGTTTCTGTTGAATTTGGTATACCAGCTTCAGATTGATAAACCTGATTCCGAAGACGTCTCTATACTCGATCTGAACAGGCTCGATGGTATAACATTTACTGTACCTTTTCTTTCACCGCCAAACCAAAAGTGGCCCGATTTTGTTCAAATACCTGGTTTGAACTTTAATTGGTTATCAAGAGCTCGAAACTCGGAAGGTATTGATTTGAAGACTTCCTGTGGACTTTTTGGAGAATCCAAAGATCACAAAGGTGTAATCAGCCTTGAAACAATGGTGAATATCATTGGTAGGATTCCTGAAGCAGCAAAGGTGGAACTAGTTTTTACACGAAAACTTCAAGATTCGTACTTTAATCCTCCAGCTCCATCGTTTGAAATTCAATTCCAAAGAAAAGGCCATGTTCTGAAAAAGGCTTACTACAAGATTGACGCTTCAAAGCCCAAGACTTTGCTTGAACCAATCAAGGGTCTTCCGTGCGACCAGCCTGATATGGATGGAGTTGTTATTTTCTTTGAGATCAATGACAGGGTTATTATTTAATGAGCATTGATATTTCCTCCCAATAAATATATTTATTAATTTGTACAAATCTATAATAACTCGATCGAATTGAGCAAGTTGTTTTTGGATAAATATCAGTAATGATTACACAATCATTTAACAATCTATCCAGTTTCAAGGATATTGTTACAATTATGGGCAAGATATACAACAATCCAATCGTGTTCATTATGTCCATTGTGCTATCGAGTATGAATATTGCACAAAACTATCCATCATTCAAACTACAGACTATCCACTGTTGCACCTCGAGACTTTTGTTCATAATGACCCATTTTTGGTAGATTGTTGTTTTTGACAAGCTTGGACAAATCTAATAGTAATTATTGGCCAACAAAACTGGTATCATTTGGTGCCTTGTCTACACTGTTATAATTGACAGTTTTGGTGTTTCAAGTAGTGTATATTGAGAACATTGCATTATGGAACCATTGCAATGTACGACACAAAGTTGGATGATGTGCGCAATGACGTACATCATATCAGCTATAAATGGATCAATGCATACCTTTGTAATAAACAACCAGCTTTATTACTACACCTGCCGAGTCTCTAGTTTCATAATAGTCTTTGATTTCCAACATGAATACCGCTATATTCAAAAATGCACAACACGCTTGCTATGGAACAAAAACAGCACTATTGTTCACGTTGCTACAAGTATATTGGGATCATCATTGTATCACACACTGCTGGTAGCTGTAAATCGGACGACAAAAACACAAACAGTGATGTTGAACATGATGAGTAAACCTAGTTGTATTGGTTGCTGTTGCACAAAAACAGCTGTTTTTAACAGTACATTTTGAATATCGTAATGTTGATCAATCACAAATATATGGGTTTTGATGGGTCCGGTAGATCAATTCAGTGTATAGTAGTGATTAGTGCAATATGATCAATTCAAGCATGCCATGTCGTGTCGTGTCATTGTATTGGTAATGAATGATGTTATTGAATGGATGAGATTGAATGCAAGATAAATAAGTAAACCATCATGCAATACACGCTGGATTGTAGCATATCCTACTCGAGACTGTTGATGGTCCACTTTGAGCTGTAGCAATGTGTCGGGTCTGGTTCAAGAGTTTGTTGTTCAGCACCAGAATCTTGAGCAACTGCACCATGCTCAGATTGTGACAATCATTGAAATACAACATTGTAGAACGAACCGAATCAAACCACTGCATTACCAGTTGATCCGAGATGCATCATATGGTCAAGTTATACCAGACTGAACAACATCCAAGTAGTGTTGCTTGAATCCAGTTTTGTAAAACTGATATTTCCAAACCATATTTGTCGCAACCCAAGTGTTTTTGATGTTCAATCTCAAGTCGAGTCTTGTGAATCGGACTGGATTGTTGTTGGTTTCCGGCATTCATGCTCTAAATCGGCAAGGTTCTCACTCGCCGAGTTGCCAATTCATAATGAACAATAGGTTC